GGTAATCTCTTGCCTTTCCTTCCTCCCTGGGCTGGAAAGGCTAAACCACTCTGCCTTCCTTCTCTTTCCTCAACACCCTCACCCCGGCCCTTTCTGAGGAAAGCTGGGCTCCTTCATGGTCAGACGGAGACCTGGACAGTATGCCCTAGACTGATCCCTCAGGATGAGGAAACACACTCTATATTCTTGCTTCTTTTTACCTCTACCCACACTTCCGAGGGAGCGTCTGAAGTGGGAGGAGCCCCCCCCCGCCCCGCATCTACCTTTACCACCATGCCCTGGCAAGGGCATGGTTGACTGACTATGAATACGCAAAGCACCCATCCAGTGCCTGGCAGCCACAGGGCCGGTGCTAACCGGGAACTTACAGTCAGGGGCGAGGCGGGTGTGGTTGCTGTTGCCATGGGCGTCATTGTAGGAGTGGGCTTGGTGCACGGATTCATCCACTACGGCTGCCATCCAGATGGCTAGGTTGGTGGCGAGGGTGAACATGAGCCCACATCTATTTCAGAACGATGGAGGAGGTGAATAAAATGCTCGTGAGGTCTTGGACTCATTATGGGTCCCTGGCAAAGCAAGGCGGGGTCAGGAGCGTTCTTGAGAGGTGGGCGTATGAAGTGAGACGGGCAGAAGGGCCTGTATGAACCGGGAAGTTGAACTCAGAAGTAAGACTCAGCCCGGTGGGATATCAGCTAAGAGAGTGCCAGAGAGTGTCCTGCGCTCAGGCCCCACTAGGGGGGAAGGCACACTCCAGGCAGCAGAAGGCAAGAGGGCAGAGAGGAAAGGATGGCTTGAAACTCCACCCAGGATGTAAAGAGAAGAGCCACACCCAGGATGACAAGCCCACTCTCCCATGCCAGGCGAGCCCTTGGCCCTCAGACACTAAGCTGTGGTTCTCACCGGGTCAGGTCCAGGTGGGTGTGGATACAATCTTTAGCGGAGATCCAGAGAAAGTAAGTCTGCACGGAGAGAGAGGGGCAGGCTCAGGACCATGTACATGGGCTAATCTCCAGAGCCCAATGTCCACCCACATCCAGTATGACGTGTTCTCTGTCCCCAATAACCCTTATCCTAAATGATCAGGCTTATTTTAGCTCTACAAAGGAGAATGAATAATTTCTCTTTCTACTCCACACTTCAACTTTTGTTTTAAGAAGGTGGTGCTCTCTGTTTCTTTCTCTCTTTCTTTCTTTCTTTTTTTGTTTTATTTTGTTTTTCAAGACTCTCTGTTTCTTAAACGTTGGGAAAATGTCACCTGTAAAACATTTTCATCTTGATGAGATTGGGGGTGTGGCTGGAGTGATAGAGTGGCAAGTGGAGTCTTGGATACCAAGTGATGTATTTGGGGGAGCAAGGCCAGCCTCAGACCTGGTCTTCCTTAAGTCTTAAGATAGAAAGGCCTTTGAGAATTTTGTTGTTGAGACAGTCTCTCTAGGAGGCCCTGGAACTCCATCTGTAGACTAGGCTGGCCTCAAATTCACAGATACCTGCCTGCCTCAGCTTCTCAAGGGCTGGCCTTGAACTCATTATGTAGTGGCGAATGACCTTGACTTCCTGACTGTCCTGTCCACACCGCTGGCCTCTTGATCTATATCCCCTGCCATCCTCTTCCTTTGTGGGTTGGAAAGGCCTTGCCCTCATTTAACTACAGCTGAGTCCCTGCCATGGGACATACTGACATGGGGATATTTGTGTTTTCATTTTTCCTAAGCATTCTTCAGACTTATAAAATGTAAAAGACTGAAGTTACGTGAAATGCTGCAGTCACATGTGCGGGGCATGCTAACATCCCTGTGGCGACCTTGCTTACACTAGAAGATGAGCGAGCTTCTGGTCCTGTGTAAGAGCAATCCTGCCTCGGCTTAGTCAGCTCTTTCAAAACTGTCTTTATGCAACACAATAAAAAAAAAAAAAAAAAAAAAAAAAACTTGAGAGCCAAGTGTGGCTCACTCCTGAAATCTCCCCAACTTGAGAGGTGAAAGCAGGAGTTCAAAGCCTGTCTGAGCTGGGTGAAGTGAGTCACAAAAGGAAAAAGAAAAAAAAATTGATTTGAACTTGTCTGAAAAACTGTAAGTTACAGGATGCCCTGCCTCTTAAACAAATATCAAACATAGAGCTACGGCTGAGACCAAAGAAGCTCCAGCCATGGTCATGGCCACAGCTTGACAGTAGGCAGAGACTGACGCCCCTTATAGACACCCAGGGTTCTTTCAGACAGGGCCAGCTGTCACAACTTGCACCTCTCGGGTGTTAATTACTGACACCACTTTGGTTGAAATAAAATTGCAGCACCCCTAAGTAGAAATCACATTTAGGTGGCACTTCATGAGTCAGCGTCCCCTTCTTTCTGGGATCATATGATCTCTACCACAGTCCAATGCCACTTGCTGAATTGCTCAGGGATGGGGCAGGGTATGTGTGGAGCTCAGGTCTCCTGACTTCTTGCCAAGCATGAGGCTTTTCCCCACATGGGGACATTACTTCTACCCACCTGGACAATGACAAACACGGCTTGGGTGATGGGATGCAGGATCTTGATGGCCGACTGGCACTCAAAGAAACTGGAGTAGTAACCAGTCTTGAAGACATCCATGACAAGGGTGCAAATCCCAAACAGCACCAGCCCACCTGGGAATCGGGGTCAGCAGGGAAGTGGTGTATCAGAGAGGCAGGAAACAGGGTTTGCAGGGTTCTGAAGCTGAGGGGTTAGTTGGGCGGGGATAGGGAATGGGTGGATAATTGGGTGGAAGAATGGATTGAGTGGAGAGATTAGGAGGGCAAGCGAATGGATGGATGGATATATGAACGGGCAACTGTGTGTCTGAAAGATGGATGAATGAGTGGGTCAAAGGTTGGGTGGGTAAACGAACAGGTAGATGGATGGATGGATGGACAGACGGACAGTTGGATTGAGAGGGTGGAGGACAGGTAAACGGATGATGAGTAAGTGAATGGGCAAACTGAAGGGCTGAAAGATGAGTGGGTGGGTGGAAGATGGTACAGTATTGACTGGGATGAGGAAGGAAGTGTCCCCACTACTGCATAAGTAAGGGCAAGGCCTCTAGACAGACCTTGCCAGCTGCTATTGTCTTCTGCTTTTTCCCTCACAAAGGTTCTCTGTGACCATCTTTCCAATCTTGACACAAGGCAAAGAAGCTCCCTCTACCTGTTTTTATCCTCTAGGACCCCCTCCCCTCCCTCTAGCCGCATCCTCCGCCATATTGTGCTTCCCAGGGAACTTCACACCTGTCTACCCAAAGTCACATCTTGCAGGTCCTCCATGAGCCCCAGACTGCAGCTCCCCACCGTGCCCACCCCACTCTTGTCCCCATCTCCCGGGGCACCTCGGAGCCAGATGGGCCCAGCATGAGCATCCCGGTAAGGCACCGCATCTGGACAGCGCGCGGTGCGGACAAGGTAGAAGAGTATCCACAGCGCGGCCAGCAGCATCATGGTGGTGAGCAGCGCGAACACGTCGGTGTCGTACACAGCCACCTTGTTGAAGGCACCGCCGCTGATGAGCGTGCAGGCGAGCAGCAGCACGTTGACAGCCAACAGCACAGACAGCAGGCGGCCGCCCTTTTTCCACACCTCACGGGGGCTGGCCCGAGGCGCCGGCAGGCTCTCATTGGGATGCGGGACCAGTTCCTCCGACATGGTGGGGACGACTGGAGGAGGTGGAAGGGATCACTGCGCGGTCCGGGTGGAGGGAGGGCAAGAATAGGATTCTAAGTCAACCCAGGGGGTTCTCCTTTCCTCCCATGTGATCCCTGGATTTGGGGACCCCCGGAATGTGGGGACTAAGGGTGCTGGATTAAGTACTGGGGTAAAGAAGAAAAACTGAAAGCAGCCTCTTTCCTACCTGGCCCGGAATTATTGTACAGAGAGAAGCAGCGGTTGCCCTAGGCCGGATCTCTTACAAGGTCCCACTCCCCAAATCTGACAGTCCCCTGGCCAGGGGCACGCACCTGGCTGCACCGGGAGCCGACACGAAGTTGGGGGTCAAGGGGCAGCAAGCGTCTCCTCTCTCCCACGCCGGGCTCGACCGGTGCTTTATACCGGAGAGGGCAGAGTGATTTACAGCCACAAGAGCTCGGTTCCATAAACCTCTCAGTCCCACTCACATGATCCATCTTTTCTCCGAGCTGAATTTAGGGAAGCCAGATAAGGTAAGATTTATATTTACCTGTTAAGATCCCCTCACCCTGTCAGGCTGGTGCGGCCAGGGTTCAGGCATGACCCCATATTGCAGTACTCAGAGGGCCCTCGGCCCCCAGCACTCACCGTAAGCTGGTGCTCAGAGATCACACCCACCCAAAGCCTGCAGAGCTGACCCCCACCCCCGGTACCCGCCTGCACCTAGACGCCGTCGCGGCTCACGAACCACCTATATTTTGGATCTTGCTTGCTGACCCGAGATTGAAACTACAGTTCCCTTTTCCCCACCTGCCCTCAGAGTGATCCAAATTCGGTCTTCCTGTATCCCTACTACTGCTGCCCAGAGATGCTGGTTGGATGCTACAAAGTCTGGTTCCCACGCGGTGCCCTCAGCTGGCCTGCGGTCGTCTAGCGCTCCCTGCTGGAGAACTGTTGTTTGACCCCACGCGTGTAGGCTAACTGCTTGCAGATGGTCTTGCAGTGGGTCCTCCTGCTCCTCTAGCCCCACTCTCCTCCAAATCTGAACTGTTTCTCCATCCTACCCTCACACACCATTCTCCAGCCCTTGTCCTGTCCTTTTAACTGGCGAAGAAATCAGGGAATCCAGCACCGGAGTTTTGTCTAGGACATACTAAATGTCCCTAAACTGGGCTTCAAGAGCTGTAAAGCCAGAGTGGATGCTTTTGGCGTGAGAGAGCCGGAGTTCACTTGAGTCACGTCTGTGTGCTGAAAAGCATGGCGTTTAGGACCCAGGGGAAGCTCCTGGGCGGCTCCCTGGGCAGTGAGAGATTCTCCCCTCCCTCCCTGGGTGTGCAGCTCAGATGTCCCGGTAGTCTGTAGTCGTCTGTAGTCGTGGCTCTGACGCTCCGCATCCACCATCTGTGGCAGCAGGGGCTGGCGGCCCAGGCCCCTGCCCACCCCCTTCCGTCAACCCCATGTCTCAGCCCTAACCCGGCTGCCATCCCCGTCCGGGGACATTTCTTGGTGCCCCTTGCCCGCCCTGTCCGGTAACTTGGGCGCCATGAATGACCAGTATCACCGGGCCGCCAGGGATGGCTATTTGGAGCTCCTCAAGGAGGCCACCCGGAAGGAGCTAAATGCCCCCGACGAGGATGGCATGACTCCAACCCTCTGGGCTGCCTACCACGGCAACCTGGAGTCACTGCGCCTCATTGTGAGCCGCGGGTGAGTATGCCCAGGAAGAACTTCACGGAAGCCCGTGTCCTAAACCTCATGGCATCGCTTACCCTCTTGCCTGAGCTGCCCTCTGCCCCTACGAACAGACCCTAAGGTGGGACTGTGCAGCCTGCCATACTTTGAGAGACATGGAGGGAACACAAACTGAGCTTGTGACAGTTGTGGACTGAATGCAGGGATTAGAGGAGAGGAACTTCGATTTGGGGATGGAATCCATGATTATGGGATGGGGGTTGCAGAGTCATTCAAAAGTCAAAGACGTTTGGGGGAAAGGTGCCTGGAAGGTAGGTGGGAACCAGAGAGAAGGCTGGGAAGTCTCCAGGGGCCTAGAACTTGAGGGGCCAGGACGGAGAGACTTTGGCTGTCTATTTCCCAACCTAGCAGCCAAGATGCTGTCTCTACAGCACCAAAAGCTCCCTCGGGCTGGGGTTCACACAGACCTGTGCCTTCCCACCACTCTTCCAGGATTTATGGGCACCGTCCTCACTGCCAAATGTCACTGGTTCAGCCAGTGATTAACTCTCTGTACCCCTCCCTCTCTGCAGGACCCAGGAGTGGGAAACTGTGGTGTGCAGAAAGGATATCTGCCTCCCTCTGTCCTCCCTCTGGTGTTGTCCTGGGAGGGAGGGTGGGCATAGAGTCCAGGGGTTTGGAGGAATGTGGGGGGTCACTAAAGTGGCTTGGGGTAGGGGAAGGGGACTAAATCACATGACTGGACACATCAACACTTTAGTAGGACTGGCCGACTCAGGTGTGGCCTAGACAGGAGGATGTCCCAAGAGGGTTCATGTGAATGCCTCAGGATCTAACTAGGGGTCAAGGTCAGGGGCAGGGATTGCGCTGACCCTGGCATTGGAGTAACTGGATATGTGGGGACATGTTCCCCTCTTCCTCTGTATCAGTTCCTTTGGTCTAGTAGTAGGTGGGAACAGTGTGAAATCAGATAGAGCCCAAGACTCCAGGAGGGCACACAGCAGTACTGTGGGTACTGTGTCCCCTGCCCCATCCATCATAAAGGCTCATGGGAGTCTGGTGCGGGGGTGGGGGTGGGGGTGGGGGTGGGGGGGGGGTGGGGGAGAAGAGGTATGGAAGGAAAGAGAGCTGTCCAAAACCCCGAAGTTCTACAGAGGCAAGGATTTGTGCTTGCTGAGGGAGGGTCTGTTGCTGAGCCACCCTTCCCCGCAGGCCTACGGGACTTGGTAATCAGAAGGGGAGGCTGGGGGGAGGGGCGGTGTTGAGATAAGGGAGTGATTCTTCCCCCAGACCTGAGCTGGCCTTGTGGCCTCATTAATGTGGGGCAGGGCCCCGTGCTAGACCAAGAGAAAGAGAGAGAGAGAGAGAGAGAGAGAGAGAGAGAGAGAGAGAGAGAGAGATTCCTACAGAAGCCAGAAACCAGCAGAGCTGGGTGGGCTATAGGTAGGAGTCAGATGTGGAGGGCATTAGAGAGGGCTGCCGGAGTGGCCAAAGCTACTCAGCTTCATAGGGCAGCCTGAACAAGGGAAAGCATCACGCCCAGGTCGCCGCCCTCTTCCTTTCTAGTTCTGGCTGTCCCCACAGTCCCCTTCTGGCCCAGGCCAAGACCCGACACCTGCTCTAACACTGGCGTTGCCAGGCCTGGCCCCGCTCCCTGTAGACATGGCGGTGCCCACTGTATACCAGCAGGCACCCTCTCACGCTCTTCCAGGCTTAAGCCCAGAGCGCGCACACACACCACCCTCTAGTCCTCTCACACAGTCCTCCTGTAACATGTGGCTTCACAAACCACCGCACCTGCCTAGAGACCCAGACTCAGGCTTGCCCACCACCTCTCTGGGCCAGCTCCCCGCAGGGCCCATGAATAATTCACTCCTTTCTCTCGGCGCATCAAATATTTATCCCCTGAGATTCCCAGCCCTCAGTTCTCTAGGGGAAGGCCCGCCCCATCCCGCCTCCTAGGTCGCCCCGCCCCTTTGTGGGTTGGGTTTCCCCCCCCCCCCCACACACACACCTGGTAGCTATGCGTAATCCTGATGCATCTGTGGACTCAAGCCCGCTTGGTCTTCTGGAAGTCTACGTCTCAGCCACATGGGTTTATTTTAGGGTAATGGTTTTCAACCTTTCTAATGCTGCGACCTTTTAAGTGCTACGACCCTTTAATACAGTTTTCCCATGTTATGATGACCCCCCAACCATAAAATTATGTTGTTGCTACTTCATAACTAATTTTGCTACTGTTATGAATCGTAATGTAAATATACGAGATACAGGATGTCTAATATATGACCCTGAGAGGGTTGAGAGCCACAGGTTGAGAACTCCGGCTTTAGTGGCAGCTAACGTTCCTGGTCCAGGGGGTTGACAATGTCTGTGGCCTCCTCCTCCTCCTCCTCCTCCTCGCCCCATCACCCTGCAAGATTATAACTCCAATCAGATCCCCAGATCCGGCTTGCTAAAAGGACTTATTCTACTTCTCCACATGCTGTCCCTACAGGGGTGACCCGGATAAGTGTGACATCTGGGGGAACACACCCCTGCATCTGGCAGCTTCCAACGGCCACCTGCACTGTCTGTCCTTCCTCGTGTCCTTCGGGGCCAACATCTGGTGCCTGGACAATGACTACCACACGCCGCTGGACATGGCCGCTATGAAGGGCCACATGGAGTGCGTGCGCTATCTGGATTCCATCGCGGCCAAGCAGAGCAGCCTCAACCCCAAGCTGGTGGGCAAGCTGAAGGACAAGGCCTTCCGCGAGGCGGAGCGGCGCATCCGCGAATGCGCCAAGATGCAGCGCAAGCACCACGAGCGCATGGAGCGGCGCTACCGACGCGAGCTGGCCGAGCGCTCCGACACGCTCAGCTTCTCCAGCCTCACGTCCAGCACCCTGAGCCGCCGGCTGCAGCACATGACGCTGGGCAGCCAGCTGCCCTACTCGCAGGCCACGCTGCACGGCACGGCCAAGGGCAAGGCCAAGATCCAGAAGAAGCTGGAGAGGCGCAAGCAGGGGGGCGAGGGCACCTTCAAGGTCTCCGAGGACGGGCGCAAAAGCGTCCGATCGCTCTCGGGCCTGCAGCTGGGTAGCGATGTGATGTTTGTGCGCCAGGGCACCTACGCCAACCCCAAGGAGTGGGGCCGTGCCCCACTCAGGGACATGTTCCTCTCGGACGAGGATAGCGTCTCCCGTGCCACGCTGGCTGCCGAGCCTGCCCACTCGGAGGTCAGCACCGACTCAGGCCACGACTCCTTGTTTACCCGCCCAGGCCTGGGTACCATGGTGTTTCGAAGGAACTATGTGAGCAGTGGGTTGCACGGACTGGGCCGAGAGGACGGGGGCTTGGATGGGGGAGGCATGCCGCGGGGTCGGCTGCATAGTTCCCCCAGCCTGGACGACGACAGTCTGGGCAGTGCCAACAGCTTGCAGGACCGCAGTTGCGGGGAAGAGTTACCCTGGGATGAGCTAGACTTGGGGTTGGATGAGGACCTGGAGCCCGAGACCAGCCCCTTGGAGACCTTCCTGGCCTCTCTACACATGGAGGACTTTGCCTCCCTCCTGCGGCACGAGAAGATTGACCTGGAGGCCCTGATGCTGTGTTCTGACCTCGACCTACGCAGCATCAGCGTGCCCCTGGGGCCTCGGAAGAAGATCTTGGGGGCCGTGAGGAGGCGCAGGCAGGCTCTGGAGCGACCCCTGGCCCTGGAGGACACGGAACTGTGAGTGTCAGTCTGGAGGAGGGGTTGGGGGTGAGGTCAACCTTTCCAGGAATGGTAGGCCTCTTAACACTACATTGCATTAAAAAACAAAACAAAGCAAAACAAAAAACCCTTCCGGTTTAATAATTGGAGGCTTTCTTATCACAGTTGACAGTCCTGGGGTAATCCAAATGAGGAAAAATAAACATTTTAGTATGAGTGGGATACATTTACAGTAATCATGGGTAGGATTTTCAAAGCCATTTAGACAGGGTCTTATGTAGCCCAAGCTGGCCTTGAACTTGTCATATAGCTGAGAATGACCTCTGATCCTCTGACTTGCCAAGTGCTGGAGTCTGAACCCAGGGCTTAGCCCATGCAAGGCAAGCACTCTCTACTGACTAATCCTCAGAGCTGGGGATGTTTTTGAGCCTTGCCAGTTTCCAGGTCCTTGAGCAAATGCTTTTGTTGAGTCCCGAGCCCCATTCCCAGTGTACCACAGGTCAGCAAGTGGAGGATTGGAGATTAGATTGTAGGTCATCCCAGGATTGATCACTGCCCCGTGCCAAGATGACCTGATCTTGAGTTAGCTTTGGCTCTAGAGCCTGGGGAGAAGCCAACTGGGGAGAAGGAGGCCACAGCAGCTGCGTCCCATCTCAACTGCCCACAACCTCGGACAGTGTGTTCTACCTACTGTCCCCACACCGTGCTCCCAACAGGTCCAACAGCAGCCTGGGAGGCACAAATATGGTTTCAGAAGCAATCATGGCTGCCCAAATCATCTCTACACCTGCCCACTACAGCGTCCCACACTACAGCGTCCCACACTACAGCATCCCACAAGCCCTCTGTCCTTCCATTTGATATGTAAGGCCTTTATCCCAGGCGGCTGGGGCAGGGGTGGCCGTGGGAAGGCAGTACAGTGTCCCCCATTTCTGATCACCGGTCTGCAGAGAGAGGGGTGGCCAAGTCATCAGAGTGGGTGGTCTTCGTAGGAAATGAGGTCTTTGAAGGCTGTCTTCTAAACCCAGACTCTGTCTGTCTCTCCACAGATGAAAGGGTTCCTCTCCTCAGACCAAATGAATTTGCAAGTTGCCACAACCCACAGTGGGGCCGAGAGGTCCTCACCATTGCCATTCCAGCTGTCCCTTCTCCAGGAGCAAGGGTCACATGGGTCATTTCCCTTTGAAACCCGGTCCATACTCTGAAGCAGAGGTGTAACCTGGAGGCACCCAAAGGGACTACAGCACTCCAGAGCATCAGTTCTGAGGGGTGTTGGAGCCCCCAGCCATCTTCATTGAAAAGCCCTGAATTACAAGAGGATTGGTGGACGGTCAGCCCCGGAGGGAGATCAGGGACCGATTGACCCTGAGGACTTGATGGCATCACAGCTGAGGTAGAGATAGAACAGGGGGGAGCTTGACAGTCATAGGGCCATCACCTGCCCCACCTGTCTCCTCCAGCCTTCTTGGGGTGTGTAGGGGGTTCCTGTTCTTTCTTAGGCTGGAAACCTGTTGCTTCCTACTTACGATACCAGAAGAGTTTGGGTATGCCCTCCTCATGCACCCAAGAAGGAGGTTCCCCAGACAGACTCTTCAGCCAAATGCTCTATCTTTCACTCCCCAGCACATCCCCTCCTACAAAGGGCCACTCCCCTCGTCTCATCCACTGGCCATGGCCACAGCTGGAAAGCCAGGCTGGGGTAGGCTGGAGTAATGAGTACTCCTTTCAGCTCATTCTGGGGGCCCAGACTGTCTCCATTAGCTTCACCCCACTACACTATGAAGCCTGGTCTCACCAGGGTTTTCAGAGAACCAGGGGGCCTGAATGCAAGGTATAGTAGAAACATGGCTGCCAGGCCTGGAAGTCACAACTGGCTGGAGAAGGGCATCTGCTAACTGTCTTGGAGTCTCCCAGGCCGAGACAGGCAGGGGCTGAACACAGTTGCTGTCAGGCTTAGTGTGAGAAAGTTCTGTGAGGAAGATCTTGGAGGATCATAGGAAAGTGAGAATTCACCATGCGTCCAGCCCTGGAATGATATGGAGGTAAAAACCAGAGCAAAGGCTAGCCCAGTGGTCCTCAGAGTATGTCCTTATAGCAATATCACCACAGGTTATGGATGTGGCATGTGGACAGTCTCTCAGGAGCCACTCGCATACAGAGTCACATCTGTCCTTCCATGGATATGCCACCCCTGTCAGCCGTGGACCCCTGTCCCAGACTCCTGCTGGGAGAGAGAGGAACACCCACAGCCTCTAGCTCCTCCTTGAATTCCCTAGACTGGGCAGAGGGAAGAACCCCCAAAGACATCTGTGTTCCATCTGGAGATGCACTATCCATGCACACCAGGCTCTGAGTGTACTTTTGTCCCCTGACCACCCCGAGTCTAACCCCCAGCCTTCTTGTTTTCTGAGCCCAAGCCTGGGGCCACCTCCAAGTGCCGACTCCTCTTTCTCAGAGCCCCAGGTACTGCTCTTTCTCACCTTGTCTGACTGTTTACCACCTCGGTCCCTCCTGGTTCTCCCTGCCCTGGGGTGGGCCAGATGCTGTGACCCTCACCACTGTACTCCAAACCTTTCCCTCAGGCTAATTATATTTTTTGTATAGCATGTTCTTCTCGGTTGTCATGCCTGTGTTCTGTTCGGTAGGCACTGTGGAGCGGCTGGGAGAGGGATGGGGGATAAAAGAGATTGGGCCGGAAGGTGGAAATATGTGACAGCTATTCATCAGAGGGGTCCTTGAGCCCCTCACTGCTGCACACATCTGTAGGGATCATTCCTGGCATCTTTTGGCCATTACCTCTCCTCTGCTTTGATCCCCAAACCTGTAGCAGCTGAGAGCAGGATGATGTCGACTCTTCCCAACAGGCCCACCTGGGCTCTTTTGGAAGTGGGCAAGAAGCCATTCTCCTGAGGTTTCTGCCTGTCACCCGGGATCTGAGCTTTCTCATTCCTGGGAAATCTCCAATAGGGGTCTTGATTTCCTTAACTATCCCTGTTAAGACTTTTTGGGGTGCCAGATTTGGTACTTTCTTCTCTCAAGGATGTCTTCCCAAATGAGTGAGCAGTAAACTCTGCTTTCTAAGCCATGTCTGGGGTCATCTTGTTCCATCCTGGATGATGTACCCAACTCAGCATCAACTAGAAAAGTATATAGGGCGAAGGTGCTGTGGGTTTCTTAGCAACCATCTAGTGGTTGTAGGCCACCTGTCTCCACTTTACAGATGAAAAAAATGAGGCTCTCGGAGGTGAAGAACACAGGTCTTTTTTGCCACAAAGTCCTTATACCCAGGCCACCAAGGGAACCAAGATACCATTCTGCCAGCCAGGGTTACACAGCATGTGCAATTGTGACTACTACTGGTCACCTTGATTATTGCACCTAACTCTGGAAATGCGCACTGGTCCTGGCCAGACAGTTGAGGGGAGGACCTGGGGGAGGGGTGGGGCGTGAGAAAGACTCTCAACGACGAAGCAGAATGGGTTGGAGTGTCAATGTTCAGAGTCTAAACTGGAGGCAGTGGGAGCTTGAGTCTCCAAGGGCCAGTGTGGCTCAAGGATGGGACCCTGGACGTCAGTAGCAGGTAGAGTCTAAGGAACCGAGGGAATTCCAGACACAGACAAAGGGGAGAATTTTACAACTGTTTCCTCCTCTTCCTCTTCCTCTTCCTCTCCTCCTTCTCCTTCCTTTTCTCCTCTGCCTCCTCCTCTTCTTCCTCCTCCTCTTCTTCTTCCTCCTCCTCTCCCTCCTCCTCCTCCTCCTTTTCCTCCTCTTCTTCTTCCTTCTCCTCTTCTTCTTCCTCTTTCTCCTTCTTCTCTCTCTGAAGATTAAATTGATCCTTGCCTCATAGATCTACATCTAGCCATAAAGAATATGTGTTCATAAAATCTGGGGTCCAGTGAGATGGCTTAATGAGAAAAGGTGCTTGCTGCCAAGCCTGGTAGCCTGAGCTTGGTCCCCAAGATCCATGGTGGAAGAAGAGAACTAGCTCCTCCTGTGAGTTGTCCTCTGACCTCTACATGTACGCCATAGCACATGCTGGTACACACACACACACACACACACACACACACACACACACAACGTAATCTAAACAGAATCTTTTCGTGATAGATAAAAGTTGTGTAATACGACATAGTCTCTCTTGGACTAGAAGAAAGTGCCATGTTTTCACTCCGTGTTTTAAAAAGGGCCTGCAGAGCTCCCTGTTCCGTTGTGTGTATAGCCTTGCATCAAGAAAACAAGGAAATTGTACGAGTTTAGAAAAACTAGTTCTTAGTTTGGGGATTAGAATCTGGTGATGTTTCCTAGAGAGCCTGCACAAAGCACACATCTGTGCACATAGACACGCACGTTGGTATTCACCTTTGCTCATGATCTAGACAGTTTATGGACAGAATCTGAGGAGGTGCAGGGACCTGTATTAAACATCTTTGAGTGGGAGCTGGAGAGATGGCTCAGAAGTTAAGAGCACTGACTGCTCTTCCAGAGGATCTGGGTTTGGTCCCCAGCATCCATGTGATGTGGCTCACAACCATCTGTAATCCCAGTCCCAGGGACTCCAACATCTTCTGGCTTCTGCAGGCACTGCATACATGTACACAGACATACAGGGAGGCAAAACTCTCAAACAGGTAAAATAAAAAATACTGTTTTTTTTTTTTTTTTAAGCTTCGGGTTAGTTGGCTGTGAATTCAGTGCATTACAATGAGGGCAGTGATGTGGTGGAGGTGGGGTACGGGTGAATCAGCATCAGAAGAGTTCCCTAGTATGTGGTTAACTATCTCATTACACAGAGACCCAGAGGGGAAGGGCTGGTCAAATGTCATACAACAGCCACAGGGCAACAGCTCAACTCGCGATGCCGTATGTGACCCTCAGCCGTCCGTCTCCGTGCTATGACTGACCACAGATACCACGATTTCCCTTCTCCATGATGCTTACTTGAATCAAGTTCTTTTTAAATAAATCAGAGTGGGGAGATATCTGGGCTCAGGGGATAGCCACATATGTACAGCAGAACTGCT